CAGAGCGCCAGACTGACGATGCATGCTGTGGGGTGGGCTGGAGGAGGTCGATAGATGGGACAGATGGAGTCGAGGCGAGACTCGCCTCGTTCTGATTGGGCCGAGAGCAGCCAGAGTCGGTTGAATGCTGCAGCGCAAGGTTGGCATCAAGAGAGCGATTTAGAGAATAAAGTGGGCCGAAGAGAGAAAGAGAGTGTGCGGTGAAGCCGAGCCAGTGGGCATTGCCTCCTTTGGGTATCACACGATGTGGATAGGGCGACGGCATGAGACGTGACGAGGGGAGGAGGAGAGAGAGAGATGGTGAAAGAGCAAAGACCAGTTGATCAGGTCCAGAGGGAAGAGGGGTTAAAACAACAAGGGACAATGCAACCTCCTCGGACTCGCCATTTCACTTCGTCCAATCAACAATTCGAACTAGAAGGCGGTCCACTGGAAGAGCAACGAGAGAGAGAGAGAGAATGACCAGGAAAAGAACGAGAGGCAGCAGTTGGAGGAGAAGGAGAAGCATTGTTAGTAGTGAGTTGAAGAATAGTAAAACAATCTTTTTATTGCAATCGAGTGGGTTTTTAGGCAAGTTTATGTGAAATTCATTTCTACCCACATGATTGTGGGAAAATCCCACCACCTTAAACGAAAGAGCGCGAATACAATTCATGCCTCTTTTAATATTATATTCTCACTGCCAATTTTCCTTATTCTATCAATGGGCATATATTCTTCATCATTATTACTTTATGCAACTTATGCTGATTTTTTCAATACACACTCTCGCATTCCGCGCAGACGCATATTCTTATTTCTATAAATTGCCTCATTTTATTCAAGTTATTCTTCACATCCTCACGAACTTGCATTAAGGTGTCGCGCCAAGTGTTGCCTTGACCTCGATGGTAGTCTCGAAATCCTACTCACTTACAAAAAAGAAGCAAATATAAGTTTGCCTCAGCGACGATGCCAACAGAGAATCTGATGTGAAAAATGTCTGGCCTTATTTAAATTAACATTCGCCCTGTCAGCCAAGGGCAGTCGTGGCAATGTGGCCTACCGGTTAACGTGTCGAGATTACACTCTGCACTGTCACGGTTCGACTCCCGCTGGGGGTGTTGATAAGACCGAGGCGAGGTCGAAACTGCAGACAACTCCAGCCGGGATGAGAATAGCTTTTGGGAAAGGGAAGCTGTGTGAAATTGAATGGAGACGTCAGATCTGCTCACAACATTGTATGAAAAATCGACTATCAGTCCTTCATAGGGTTAAACGAAATAGGGTAAAGAGAAGACTGAAATTTGCTTTAGGGATAGTCTCGAAAACCGAATTACCCACGAAAATAGTTCAATGCATCACATGGCCCTTGTTATTCACAATACTTCAAAGTCGGACTCCTTCAGTAAACGTTTTAGCAAGGCATACGATTTACAAAGTAA